TAAAGTCCTAGCGATTCCATCATTTACATATTCGATTAGTGATCACCCTTATTTTTATTTTCTTTGTTCCAGTCTTTATTTTCAGTAGTTCTTGTTTCCTCAAATCTAAATTTTGACTGTCCAAATAATTAGGGAAGACTGTGATTCTAATACTTATTTTATTAAATCCCCGTGGGAACGATATTATTATACTACTTTATAACTAGTGCACTTGCTAGGGTTATATATTTATAGCTATCATGCAACACTATTCCTTGCAGCCGAGGGAGAGGTCGTCTCTTGTCGGGCAGTGTATGATCATTATGKGCTGAGAGGTTAAGTGTAAGACCATTGAGGGTAATACCTAATGGGCTAATCTTGCATCTGCCCATAGGCCATGTGATGGGCTTCAAGGGGTTCACTGTCTTTTCAGGGAATTCAGCCAGGCTTTGTAACAAAGGCTTGGCTGAACCCATGTGGTTGATGTGTAGATCAATTTTGGGTCCCACGCCATACAAAGAAGCCCAACTGGGCAGCAGGTTGGAAGCAGTTTGAGCACTTACACTTATTGCGCCTAAAGCCCATTTCGAATTGGCCTAGTTTGACTAGTTAAATAAGGGGGCATATCTGGAATTAAATCAGTAGATTGGATAGGGTCTTACCCTATCCACTCAAAGAGTCCAGATCTGAATTCAGATCTGGAAACCTCCTATTGAGATTAGGAGAGAGCTGATCTAATCTGCAAATAAGATAAGGGCTTATCCTTATCCTTTAAAGAGAACTCCTTATCCAAATACATATTTGGATTAGGAAACTCCTAATGAGATTAGGATCTCTCTTTAAGGCTATAAAAGGAGGAGGGGGCGAACCATTCAGATCATCCTCAGCATCCCAAGCATCCAGAGATCAGATCTTAAGAACACCCAGAGTGAAGACAACAACAATGTGACTGCACCATCTTCTTCCTGCGTTTCCTCCAGATGCCGCCACACTACCAGTTCAATCTCCTTTCTTTGTAGGAGCGATCAAGAGGTGTCTTGATATCAGTCTTTGGAGAAAGGCTAATCAGAAGCCATGCTCACTGCCTCCATTGGATTCTAATTGAAGAATTCGGTTCATTGGACTGACCCTGCTGATTCTTCTCCACCATTCATTGTGTCATCTTCAGTGGGAGCAGTCTTTGGAATCATTCTTTGGGCGTGAACACCTTCGTTGGGAGATATTGCATCTTCGTATCAGGTATATCCCTCTCCTACTGTTTTGGTTCGGATCTGGTTTGGTTCTTGGTTCAAGATTGGTCCTTGAAAAATGCAGTTTTTCTAAAATAGGGAATGTGATTCCCACTTGGGAGAGAAAGTAATTTTTGAAATTTCGCCCTACCTTTCTGCAGGGTTCGGCCATCCATATGATGGATCTCTCATCCCTTCATATACGTGCTCGAATAGGGATCATATTTCCTTTGCGGTTGCCCTGGAAAACCACTTGCCACATTCACTTTCTCAATGGGCTCCTCTTGAAGAGTTGGGCACATAGGGATCATAAGCCTTCACCGTTTGCATATTACCTGCAGCCATGTGACGAACAAGAGAAGTTAGACTCGCAATTTTTTGTTCAAGGGAAGAGAGATTTACATCATTAGCATGCTTTGATGGATGGTCAAGCCTATAGTCGAATTGTTGAGAATTGGCCGCCATATTTGCAATCAAGTTTCTCGTGTCTTCGGGAGTTTTATCCACTAAAGCTCCTCCACTAGCAGCATCAATCATGCTCCTATCAGTGGGTTGAAGACCCTCATAGAAATACTGGATGAGTAGTTGCACACTGATTTGATGATGGGGGCAGCTTGCATATAATTTTTTAAAACGTTCCTAGTATTCATGTTGGAACTCCCCGTTGTACTGCCTTACACTACAAATTTCTTTTCT